GGCATTGATGGGAATTGAATACGGCCTAATCGGTAAGTTGAGTGCCCTCGCGACATTGCACTTGTGTGTGCGCTAGGTGTGTGCATTGTACATCGTTTCGCGATACGTAATACTGCGCATTTTTTAAAGTTATTTAATAAAAATAACTTTTAGAGTCACGCGTACGATAAGAACTTTTTCTTTTTTTTTTTTAACAATCGTTTTGCATAGTAGAGTTACCGCATTTATTTGTGGAAACTTTTATATACTCGTATATTACTAGTATGCATATATACTACTAGTGTATACTTTTATTTCTGCTGTAGTTTTTTATGCAATAATCACTAGCTTTAGCAGACAATTACAGCAAAAAGTACGTATACTAGTTTAGGCTTTTGCACCCTGGTGGTATTTGAGAGAATCGTGGAGTGAGTGGGTGGGTATGTATGTGTATTATCTCTTTTTAAATATGAGTAATTGGCTGGCAGGTAGCATACTTTTTGGAGCGAATGTGAAAACTTTAATTTTAAGTRGGTAGGATCCAGGAAAGGCACGAAGTTTGCTTCCACTCCGGAGTGGAAATTTCGCCTCCTGGTTTATACAGAACTGTTACAAAATTTTGTCATTTTATTCTATTATGCTTGCTTTATAAATTTATTTTGTAACTTTTCTTTAATATTATGTATCATGATTCGAAGGGATTTGCAACGATTTGAAAGATTCATTTCTATTYCGATTYTATCTCMWWBGAGATAGAATCGAACAAATTCGCAAATACTTTGATGAATTTGATACTTAGTTTTAAGCATTATAACTAACACTTCGCACTATCGCGATTTAGTCTTTGAAGTATTTGATATAATTCAGTATAAAGAATAAATTGAATAAAAATATTGCAARAAARTGCATTGCATTTATAGTATTATTTTTATTTCAATTCGATTTTATTACTGGATAGTAAAAATGCGACGTGTTATTAGGTCATTGCATATAATTATCTGCTTGAACATTCGATTAATTGTGGTTGTGTATATGTTAATGAACTCTAAGTTCATTGATGGTTCACGAGCTTTAATAATGAACAGAGAATGTAAATCAATTTTTTAATAATTGAGAATTAGAATCGTAACATAATACGAGTTAATTTGCAAACGTAGTATGAAAGATCTTATCTTTCTTGCACTTAGAAAATGTCCAATGCAGTTTTCAGGAAATGAAGAAAGAAGAGGCTAATGCTGAAGAGGCTAAGGCCGAAGAGGCCCCCAATTAAATGTGGTATCAAGTGAGCAACTACTATTCAGGCTATTGAGTTATTTTCAAAAKTTCAAACAGCAAGTTCGAACTTTTCGAGAATAGCTCTCTTGTCATATTTTATATTTTATTATATTATTTTCTTGCTCGTCATTAATTTGTAGTTKTAATTGGAGATGATGGACCATTCCATCTCCTTGGGACACCAAATTTGTGTCCATCAAAATCGTCAAAAAGATGCATATATGTTTAGTTAGAGTCAGAAATATTAACATTTTTTTATTATTAAATTTGGAAGCCTAAATAACGTTCTGTTAATAGTACAATAATTTCTCTTTTTTTGTTTCATCTTTAAAATTTTTCATTTTGTTCGTATTTTATTAAATTTGCAATTTTTCTTTTCTATATAATACAGTTTTTAAAAGTGTTTCACAATAATTAATAGATATTATTTTTTCTAATAACTTAGTATTTTTATTTTTCCTATTTCTTTATTTTCATTTATTTTATGTAAATGTAAAATTACGCGTAATTTCAGTACATCGATAAATAGAGATTTGATCAAAATAAATATAGAATTCAATTGAAAAGTGCATCTGCGAATTGGACGATTTATATGTTAGGCTATTGTATTACTTAACTATATTGTTTTCTTCTTGTTACAGGTGATCATTGTTGGATTTATCATCAAACCTTCTGGATTCTTTTTTATTTGAGTGTCTTAAATTGCTTCATTTTAAAATATACGTATAAATGCATTCTGAATTCACATGTTTATACATTAAATATATTTATTTTAAGCTTTATTACAATAGAACTATACTATTTATATTATCAAAGAGAGAGAGAGAGAGAGAGAGAGATTGGGTGAGGGAGAGAGAGAGAGAGAGGGAGAGAGAGAATACATCATATACTATCATATAAAGAATAATGTATTCTTTGATAGTATTGTACTATCATCTTCGTATGCCAACTTTTTTGTGTTTAACTATGTCTTATAAATCATTTCACTGTTAACTTTAAGATACCGAAATGAAAATATCAATATTTTTTATCAAATAAATGAATTACTATTTATCGATAAGTTAGAATTTTTTATTACCACTCGCATACAGTAGCGACTCTTGTTGATCATTTAAGAAACTAAATTTCAATTCACTCCGAAATCGTGTCTGTTTTGTAAGATCTTTGGTGTGTGGTCTTCGATAGCAGCATTGAATTTTAAATCCACACAGGTAAAGATTAATATCTTAAAGATATTTAAAACATTAAGATATAATTTAGAATATGTGTATAATTCTTTAAAAAGTTATTATTTTAGTAAAATAACGTAGCATTGAAATAACTTCAAATATAAATAAGATATAATTAATTGAAATTGAGGGGTTATATATATTTCGATCTTATGATGTAACAATGTCACTGAACCATCTATATCAAAATGATATAACATTTGTAAAACTTGTAATTTTAAGGTCGGTAAAATGGCAACTATCGCTCGTAATCTTCGGCCGTATTTAAAATACATTCGTAACCAAATCAGGACTTACGCTGATGCACCTGCTAGCGATGAAATGAAATTCACATTTGCTGGTGCGAATCAGGTACAATGTAATTCTTGTTAAATATTTTCTCATATACGTATATGTGCCCATAATTACTAAAGTGGTCTAAATCAAAATTTTCAAAAATTGAGTTTATCAGTTATTTCACACCACATTATTTTAAACTAAATTAATTCAATATAATTTTCACGATATTGTTCAAAATTAACCGGTAGATAGTGTTTTTTATTTCAATATTATATAGAATTAATTTAGTGTTCAAATGTAATCCTTTAAATATCTTGAAACAAGAAATATATAAGTTAGACCACTTTCATAATTATGGGCTCATATATGTAACTTAAAAAATTATCAAAGAAGTATTAAATATGTATGTATAAATAGTTAATTAATTATTCTTATCAAGTAAATTTTATTTTTAGGTATTTTATGATAAAAGCGTCATCCGACAAGTAGATGTTCCATCATTCTCTGGTTCTTTTGGTATTTTACCAAAACATGTTCCCACTTTAGCTGTTTTAAAACCAGGTGTTGTTACGGTTTATGAAGAAGATGGTAATACTAAAAAAGTTTTTGTTTCTTCCGGTACGGTGACCATAAATGAAGATAACAGCGTACAGGTAGAAATTTTATTTATTAATTGGAAATGTGTTAACACAATTTTATTTGTATATATACATATATAGAATACACACATGTGCACGTGTGTTTATAAAATATTTAAAGATTTTAGCAGAAGAAGCGCATCTGGTAGAAAACCTGGATGGTTCTGCGGCAAGAGAAATTCTTAGTAAAGCTCAACAACAACTTTCTTCTGCTTCGTCGGACAAAGATAAAGCTGAAGCAGCTATTGCTGTCGAAGTTGGAGAAGCTCTTGTGCAAGCAACACAATAAGTATTAAATATTGCTAAATTGTTTGCTATTAATGAAATCTTAGATACACGTATTTGCCATACAATTATCTTATAATTGCTGTATAAAATGCAGTACAAATAAAATCTTATATTAAGATCATTTGTTCTCTACCAGATAAATTAACTATCTGAATAAAATTAATATATGTATAAAGAGAATAAGAAGTGGAACCTAATTATTTTTACCGTAATCAATTTTATAGTGAAAAAAGTAATATATACATATAGATAAAAAAAGAAGGAAAAAATATTTTCGTATTATAATTTATTATATTATTTTATTTCACTTTCTTTTCTATAACAGCATGGAAATATTTCAAAATTATGATTTATTTAGGTACATAAAAGTTATCTCGTAATTTGATATATATTTTTCAAATAGATGAACACCCATAAAAAATCTCACTCTATTATTGTTAAAATAATATGAAATATATATCATATAAGAATCATATTAATCAATAATTATTAAAATATTAGAATATGTATGATT